TGCTACCTTGTGATGGCCTTCGGCCTCAAAAATTCAGGCGCCACCTACACACGCATGGTGGCTAGGGTCTTCCAAGCTGTCTTAGGACGCACTATGGAGGCTTACGTTGACGACATGATCGTCAAAAGCAAGAAGGCAGGCACCCACGCCGACGACCTCCGGGAGATTTTTGCCATCATGCAAAAATTCAACCTCCGGCTAAATCCAAAGAAATGCACCTTCGGCGTACAGGGAGGAAAGTTCTTAGGCTACATGGTCAGCCGAAGGGGTATTGAGGCCAACCCCGAGAAAATTCAGGCCATCATCAACATGGAGCCCCCACGCAACGTCAAAGAAGTTCAACGGTTGACGGGTCGCCTGGCGGCCCTCAACCGATTCCTCTCTAAGTCAGCCGAGAGGGCCCTCCCATTCTTCCAAATCATGAGGAAGACAGCTGGCTTCCAATGGACATCTGAGTGTCAAGAGGCCTTCGACGAACTTAAGAAGTACCTCTCTTCTCCCCCGGTGCTCTCCAAACCGAAGGTGGGGGAGACCTTATACTTGTATCTCGGTGTTAGCCCTGCGGCAATCAGCTCAGTACTAATCCGAGAGGAAGACGGCGTCCAACACGCCATCTTCTACGTCAGCAAAACCCTCCGGGAGGCCGAACTCAGGTATTCTCCCGTCGAGAAGACGGTGCTAGCCATCGTTTGGACCGTCAAAAAGCTTGGCCACTACTTTCAAGCTCATCCGGTCCAAGTGCTCACTCATCAACCCCTCGACGCCCTCATGAGGAGTCCCACTAGCTCCTCTCGGATGGTGAAATGGGCCATTTTCCTCAGCCAATACAACATGGATATCCGTCCGAGGCCTGCCATCAAGGGCCAAGCCCTGGCAGACTTCGTAACGGAATGCACCGCAAGATCAGCGGTGGATGAGGAGCCTTCGGCACCCCTCGATGAGTGGTGGACCCTCTATACCGATGGCTCCTCGGCTACCAAAGCATGCGGAGGGGGAGTAGTTCTCATCACACCCGAGGGCTTCCGCGCCTATTACGCCATCCGATTCTCCTTCAAAGTCTCCAACAACGAAGCCGAATATGAGGCCCTGCTCTGTGGCCTTCGGCTGGCCGCAAATCTGAAGGCCAAACAAATCCACGTCAAGTGCGACTCCAAGCTAGTCGTAGGCCAACTCTCCGACGAATATGAGGCCAAGGAAGGAAGGATGAAGCAGTACAAGGAAGCAGCCAAAGAATTGCTTAAGGTATTTGAGGCACATTCCCTCACCCAGATACCAAGGGCTCAAAACTCTGAGGCCGACATTCTATCCAAGCTCTCGGATGAATCCCCCGAGCACCTTTCCAAAATTGCGAGAATTGAGGAACTCAGCCTCTCAAGCATCCACGCGAGCCCCGTCATGGACATCCACCTAAGGCCGGAGGACTGGATCTCTGACATCATCGCCTTCATCACCACAGGGCAACTGCCCCAAGACGAAGCCCGCGCCAAGTTAGCAAAGCTGAGGGCTCCCAGCTACACCATCGAAAACGGGAGGCTTTACAAGAGATCTTACAACGGCACCCTCCTTCGGTGCCTTCATCAAGATGAGGCCGAAAACGCCATGGAGGAAGTGCACAGTGGCACTTGCTCAGCTCACCAGGGACCTTTCTCCATGTCCCGAAGGCTCATAGTTCAAGGCTACTTCTGGCCCACGATGGCTAGAGATTGTGCTGATCTAGCCCGGAGGTGCACCGCTTGCCAACACTTTCAGAAAGCCCCCGGCAGACCAGCGGTTAACTATGCCCCCATCAGCACCGCTATACCCTTCTCCAGATGGGGGATTGACTTAGTAGGCCCTCTGCCAAGGGGCACCTCCAACAACAGGTACATTATTGTGGCCATTGACTACTTCACCAAATGGGTGGAGGCGGAGCCCCTCGCCAGCATCACGGAGGCCCGATGCCGTCACTTTGTCCTCAAGAACATTCTCACAAGGTTTGGCGTCCCCCAACAAATCATCTCCGACAACGGGACTCAGTTCGAGGCAGCCCCCTTCTGCGCCCTCCTTGAAGCTTGGGGCATCAAGCACACATTCTCTTCCGTTGCCTACCCTCAGGGCAACGGGCAAGTAGAGAACGCCAACCGAACCCTACTTGAAGGGTTGAAGAAAAAGCTGGAAGCCGAAGGGGGAGGCTGGGTAGAGGAGCTACACAACATCTTGTGGGCCTACCGTACCACCCCTCGGCGTGCAACAGGCGAAACACCCTTCTCCCTATGCTATGGCTTTGAGGCTAAGGCTCCAACAGAAGTTACCCTTCCTACCCGAAGGGTGGAACAATATGAGCCCGAGGCCAACGACGCAAACATGGCCCTCGACCTTCATCTCATCTCGGAACGCCGAGAGCAAGCTTTCCTCAGAGCCGAAAACTATAGGAGACAAGTCAAAGGATACATCGACGCCAAGGTCCGCTCTCGGGAATTCCAGGTGGGAGACTACGTCCTCCGACGAAGGGAGGCCAGTCTACCCACCGAAGGAGGAAAGATGGCACCCAAGTTTGAGGGCCCCTACATCGTCTCAGCCGTCATCAAACCGGGAACATACAAATTAAAACGTCCTAATGGGACGGAGATTCCTAGACATTGGAATGTGCACCACCTTGTCAAGTTCTATCAATAAGGCGTGAGCGGCCAAGCCCTCACCCTCAGCAAGTATAAATATCAGTGGCCCAAGGCCCCATCTGTTTTTGAAGAATAATCAAAAGGCCTAGCCTTTATCACCTACATATTATACAAACGGCCCAAGGCCCCCTTCTCCCCTACAAATGAGTGGCCAAGCCCTCATCGCTTCACCAAAATAGGCCCAAGGCCTCTCCCTCTCATGAGGGGGAAAGACAGTTTAGGTACCAAGTACCGAGTGTATGGGCCACCCCCATCACTCTTTGAAAACACCTAGTGTTTTCTCACTAAGCCGTACCCCACGAGGACGCAACCATGCATACATTATGCATACTTTTACATACTCTCATAAAAAAAAAAAAAAAAAAAAAAAAAAAAAAAAAAAAAAAACCGGGGGGTGCAATACCCCTCGGCTCCGGCTGGTACCAAGTGCCCCCGGCTATTTGTGTCCCACATACAAATAAAACCCTTCCCAGGAACGCTTTCCGCGCCATCCCCCAAGGGGAGGCAGGCAACGGACCATGTCCCGGGCCCAGGATTCGACTTCCACAAACGAAACGCTCCCCGCGCTATCTCCCAAGGGGAAGCAGGCAACAGACCATGTCTCGGGCTGAGGGGACGACTTTCAAAACCGAGGCGCTTTCCGTGCTATCTCCCAAGGGGAAGCAGGCAACAGACGATGTCTCGGGCCGAGGAAACGACCCTCAAACCCTTCGGGATATCGGAAGGTCATTCCCGAAGGGGGAGCCAACGGTTTGTTCCGTTGCCTCCCATATAGGCCAAGCCTTTCCTAGAAACCAAGTTTCTACAAAAAAAAAAATAATGTGTGTAGGGGGGAAGGAACTCCCCGGATATTATTCTCCCCGGAGGCTCAACACTTCGGACATACATTCCCGAAGGCTCCTACAAAGGCACAAGAAAATCTCTCTACAATCAGTCATCTGGCTACATAGCCGAAGGCTCCCCTACATAAAGCCTTGGAGTACAACGGTTTTTCCGGAAGCCCAAGAAGAAAGCTCGCTAAGCAAAACTTCACCTAAATTTGGCTAAGGCCGCAATTCGGTTGGATCAAAGTCAACTATGTGACATACCGAAGGCTCCATAGAGTTCTAAGGCAAGCTAAATCTATACCTACACAAACCGGAGGGTTCATACCGACGAAGGCGGAATACTACCAAACTCACTCAATGATGACAATTTGGTACCCTTCGAAGGAGACTCATCAACCGAAGGGTGCACTCTATGGGAGACACATCTCAGAATTCCACTAAGTCCATAATCTTGAACCCCTCGGCAACCATATACACCGGGGGCTCAGGCAATCCTCACACTCGACGGATTCACCACAGTATCTATTGAAACTTCGTGGAAAAATGACTAAGTCCACAAATGGGGACCCTTCGGGAGGGCAACTCTTCACCTACAGACTCATCACTACACTGCTTAATGGGGGCTCCCAATGAACTCTATCCCTCGGCATCACCACTACGAACATCCGAAGGGGGTGGGACCTACACCACGACCAGAGGCTCACGACAAAAGTTCTTACTTAGAAAATTTTCTAAGTCCACGATCACAAACCCCCCCGATGATTTTACACTACATCCGGAGGGTTGTGACACGAATTCCGCTTAGAAAATCTCCTAAGTCCACAACTACAAGCCTCCGGTGGCTCCACACCTGACCGAAGGATTGTCGCTGAGTTGCACTTAGAAAATATTTCTAAGTCCACGAACTGGTGGCCTCCGGGAAACCAGGCATATGAAAGAGCGAAGGCAAACATTCATCCAAAAAAAAAAAAAAAAAAAAAAAAAAAATAAAAGAGAAAAAAAAACAAAAAAGGAGGCATGCATAAGGAGCGAAGGCATACATTCTGATTCAGAAAAAGGAGGCATTCATCGAGAAAAGCCCGAGGGCAAAACATTGATCACAAAAACGTACAAATATTGAAGGTGCAATTGTTTACAATCATGGCCGAAGCCGAGGCCTATAGACTATTACAAGATTTAGGGACAGGTAGATAATTAAGTCTGGCCCCCCTCAGCTGCATCCTCCTTCGTCTTTGAGGTAGCGTCGTCCTCGACTTCATCTTCATCTTCAAGACCACACTCCCTCATCAACTCCGAATCTGCGAGCTGGCGCCTCTCCTCGCCCTCTGGGAGGGGGACCCGAACATCAGGTTGTCGGGGTGGAAGACCGTAGGCAGAGGGGTCGAACTTGCTGGGATCAATGCCGAAGTGGCCAGCCAGCTTCCTGTAAATCAGGCGTTGGGTGAAGAATTCACCCCCATCGAAATAATTTTTGCCCTTCAGGGCCATCCATTCAGATCCGGGGCCTGCCACCCAGCCCTCGACGCCTTGTTCTATGACCGAGGCCACCCACTCCTTGTGGTCCTCGGCTTTCCATCCCTCAGCAATGAAGGAAGCAATGCCATCTTCTCTAGCCTTGGCCACGGCCTCAGCCTTGGCCTTCTCGGCTTCCTCGGCTGCTTGCTTTGAGGCCTCGGCAGCGGCTTTCTCCGCTTCAGCCTTCCCGTCAGCACGAGCCTCCACCTTGGCGGCCTCCAACTTGTTCCCCGCCTGCCTCAGGGCCTCCTCTAGCTCGGCCATCTTCCTCATGGCCTCGGTGTTCTTTGATACGAGCCTCTTAAGGGCCTCGTCGTCTTCCGCCTTCCGGAGGCGAAGCTGTTCCATCCTCCGGACATATTCTCCGAAGGCCAGGCTGGCCTGCAAACGAAGAAAGGACACTCAAAATCAAAACATGCAAAGGAAGGGACACTAACGACAAACAAGGTGCTGAAGATCCGGGAACTTACAGAAACTGAGGCCTGGAGGGCCTTGGCTTCGAGGACCTCGTCATCAAACCGGCCGAGGGTGGACCGATCCAGTGGGGGTGTGGCACCCCTCAGAAACTCCCTCGGGTCGAGGGTGCCGTGCATAATAGCAGTCCCCTTCTTGAAGGAGAACTGCACGGTTTCCTGTGGCCAGGCCCCCTCTTCAAAATCCTCCAGGGGGGTGGACTCCGAAGCCTGAAAGGAGGGGGGTTCATCAAGGATCACCAAGGGGGCATCCTTCCTCCCCTCGGTCCCCTTCTTTTTTTTCTCCGGAGGCGCGACGCCCTTCCCGGAGTTTTTCCTCTTTAGCTCCCCAGCTTGGGAGCCTCCGGCACCGGCACCGGAATCAGCAGCTGTCTTTTTGGAGGGGTCCCCACCCTCCGGGACTTTAGGAGCCCCTGCTTTCTTCAGCACCTCATCGACGAGGGGCTGGTTCGAGGACCCCTCGTCCTTCTTCTTCTTCGGCACCTTGGCCAATTTCTTGGACAATCGGGCGAAGGCTTGAACATCCATTATGTCACCTGCACAAACAAAGGAAGGATTAGGATCAGACAAAGACAAGGATAATTTTTCTAAGTAACACAACAAAAAGCCCTCGGTGAACAACCTCTGGCATTCTGATACCCTCGATCGATTTCAGGGTATTTTTCGTCCTTTTCCCTAGGAAGGCGATATCTTCGGAAGCCCAACAGATAGAGTTCCTCGGGTAGCGTCGCTTCCTTAATAGCGATAACTTTCTCAGAGCCCACGGGCTTCTGGATCAATTTCCTTCCCGCCTTGTCGAGGGCCGCATTGCCTACCTTCGGATGCCTTTTGAAATGATTTTTCAGAGCCCCCGGGAACGGATTTTCGGTCATCCGGATGTAACAGAATTTCTCCTTCCATTCTTTGTGGGAGGAGGGAGTCTCCGAGAACAGCTTCCAGGCCGGAACCTGCTGCAGATTAGCATACCCCCCGGCATGGGTATGACCCCCCCCGGCAGAGGTTGAAGGAGAGGAAGAATTGGTCCAATGTGGCGACCACCCCTCGGCTTCGACAGAGAGCCAAGAATCCTGCCAAATAGTAATGGCTGTTCGGCGTGAGCTGGCAGGGGGCTAGCTTTACATATCCTAGATACTCCACGACGAAGGGATGGAGTGGGAACCTAAGGCCCAACTCCACCGACAGCATATGCACGGAAAAACAACCCTCCGGAGGATGGGATAGCAGGTCATCAGGCCCCGGTTCCACCACTTGTGCCGACGGCCCCACGAGGACCTGAAGAGCTTGATACTCCGCTCCCGAGGCTGTCGTTTTCACTTCAAGGGCGGCGGTGTCCAAATAGGAGTGACCCTCGGGGATTCCCACCGGCTGCCCGGCGTCGACGGCTGCCATCTTCTTCTTGGGAGCAGCCCTCGACTTCTTCTTCTTTTTGGCGGGGGCAACATTCAAAGGTTCCGGATCTAAGGGCCGGGAACTGCTCGCTTCACCGGCGCCGCGGGAGGGCAGCACCGCAACCGTGACTGCCTGCCTCTCCCTCTCCTCCTCCTCTTCGGCGACTTGGAGAGCGAGGGCCATCTCCTCATCTGCCACCACCTGTTCGAATTCCTCCGCCTCTAGCTCAGTGCGGAGTTGGCCTTGGACCTCTTCAGCTATCATGGCGTCGTTTCCTGCCGATGGCTGCTCACTGGATGATTCCACACTCGAGTAGCCCTCCGATTGCGCCGGGGCCTCCTCCGATATGTTTTGGGAGTCACTGCCGGAGGACATCTTTACGGAGGAGAAGGGGAACTATCTAAGCGTTTTAACCGAAGGCCCCTAAAGTCACTACAACTAAACCTGAGAAACTAGCAAAGTATGCTAAGAAAGTCGGAAGGCTGGGGAAGTACTGACCTCAGAATTCGGTTGGGATCGAGGGTGAAACTTTCTCTCTCTAGAATCAAATTGCCAGAGCTTCGCTATCTCTCAAAATCGCGCAAGCACAAATGAGCTCAGGCTCAGGGTATTTATAGGCAACTGGGCCTCGATATATGGGCCTCGATTTGAAAGCCCATCATTACGGGCCGCCGGTTCAACCAATGGACGGCACCCGCCCCCCACCGACCAACGGAGGCATGCCACGTCAAACCTTCTTCCAACGGCTATATTTCGGTTACACTAGGGGTGCCCCCGAGTGGTAGCCTCCGGCTATCACCCGCCACACCCTACGGACAATTAATTCCACCAAACGCCTTCGAGCCCGTAGCAGCATAAGCCTTCGGCTTGTCAATGTTATCACCCCTCGGGGGATCATCAACTCATCATAACTCCTTCAGCCCAAACTCGCCTTCGGCCTAAAGGAGTGGGGGACTGGGATACACCCCTCGGGGACCATACACAACAAAAATTTCTTCATGCAACAATTTACGATTGACGCATACGGCCTCCGGGCAAACATCACAATACATGCAGACAATACATCTATGCTTTCCTCAGAAAACCCTCGACGTATGGGGGACTGAGGGGGAGCCCCCGGCGAACATGCGAAGGTTATGAATACCTTCCCTCATGAAACCCTCGACATGTGAGGGACTGAGGGAAGCCTTCGGCAATCAACAGAAGACAAGTTCTCAAACAAAGGCACCCAGACAGGCGATGAAGCCCCCGGAAGAATCAACACATCTACTCCTTTTCCCTCAAGTACCTTTCGGCAAAAAGAGTGAGGGACTCCTGATGGAGTATATGGCCCAGGAACCCCCGGCCCATAGACTCCTACTTCTCCTACACAAGTCCATTGAGCCCAGGAAACAACTCAGGCCCAAATACGACGGCCCAAGCCTCAAAGTGGCCCAGAATACACACTGGGGTGGCTTCGGCCTCCTTGGCCGAAGGCTCCAGAACTCACAGAATGGCCTTTTCGGCGTAGGAAGTTGCTGGGAGAAAACAGGCGAAAACATGAGCCCTCGGCATTCTCATGCCCTCAGCACCAGGGGAAGCCTTCGGCTGAACCAAGCCTTCGGACTACACGAGGAGCCCCCGGCTACACGAGGAGCCCTCGGCTACACAATGAGCCCTCGGCTACACAGGGAGCCCTCGGCTACACAATGAGCCCTCGGCTACACAGGGAGCCCTCGGCTACACGAGAAGCCTTCGGCTGAACAAAGCTCAATCATCGAAGATTCCTTTTGGAGACGGCCAACCACCGCATTTAATACCACGTCACATCCGCCAACCGCATTCAATGCGGTGGACGTACCACTGCCGGTGCCAACCGGCTGATGTGACCCTTCGGCCGTTGGATTACTGACACGTGTCCTCTCATCGCATTTATTGCTGCTATAAATAGCAGCCCTTATTCTCCTTGTAAAGCACGCTGAGTTCATTTAATAAAATCGACTCTCTCTCCTCCTATTTGCTCTGACTTCTCTCTAGTTACTTCCGCAATAACCCCTCGGATTAGATACCCCCCGGGTAGATTGTCCATCAACTAGGTTCAAACCCACCTTACGATCGATATAGTTGATTTTAAATTTTAAATTGTTACTAAATTAATTTTAACCTCCTCCTCCTCCTACTATACTAGGTTCTAAGACTTTTGTAAATTAGGATAAGTAATTTTGTTTATTTATTACTCATCTAGATTAGAAAACATCCTTAAAGTCTAGATACCTAAATACTTGGATTAAAATAGGCTTAAAAGACTTAATTAAAGGGGAGAACAAAGTACAAACCTGTACTTTGGGACTTCGGAGCTACGGATTCTGATTTTACGGGTTGCACTTCTTGGAACACAAATGATTTTGTTTAGGAATTCAAAAATAATACTCCGCAATTGCTGCCTGTTTTACCTTCGTATTAGCCAAATCTGAAGTTATCAGCTTTTAGAATGAAGTTGAGCCGAAAGGTTCTATACCTATTGGGGACAATCTATTTCTTAATTGGAGCAAATGTGTGGGCTATGTTTTTTCCTAATAGTCTACGTGCAAAATTATGGAGGCGTAGACACCATACAACTCGTGGCAAATTTATAATTTTGGTGAAAATCATGATTTTTCTTAAATGACCATTTATACAATTATGATGAGCATCAAGCTTGTTTTATTGAGTATTAGGAGTTTAACAATGAACACTAGTGATCTCTGTTTCATTCATATCTTCTAATTCATTTTTTTTTTAATTTTTCCGTTAATAAAATTTTTTTATACGTTTATAATCAATTTCAATTAATTTCAATATGTGAACCTAATGTAGTATTATACGTTTGAAATGTGAAAAATTTTAAAATGAGTGTTGAAGTTTATTCCTTCAATCCTCGGGTCCAACACGTAAGCCCAAGAGTTTCGAGTGGAGTGTGTATGTGAATGAACTAGCCCAACAACAAATAAGATGGATCAAGAAACAATATGTAGCAAGTAAAAGATTAGGTATTATTAATCAGTTAATAACTCCCCAATACAATACGCTTGCTATGGCTCGTCGGCCGTTCGTCTTACAAGGCAGTAGAAGACCTGCGAGTAAGAGAAGTATAAGCTAGAGTGCTAAGAATAGTAAGTTGTCAACCCTTTACAATGAAATAAATGCTGCTATTTATACCACCAATGGGCAGTTGGCCATGCTGGCGTTGAGGGCTGTGTGTGGCCGGCGTTTCAACCACCAAATCCCCAACATTTAATGCGTTTCCCGTCAGAATCTTAGTTTCCTGCCTAACCTGTGGGGACGTGCGTCCAGCTGGGAAAGGAGGCCTGCTCCTGATGATATTGAAAAGGGTAATGGGCCATTCGTATCCTGGTCCTTGGAGGATTTGTCACTTGGATTGGGCTGGCTCCAGGCGTTAGTAGCTTCCGGAGGCGACGTTCGTCGCCGTTGTGACTGTCTGCGGGTTTGACCCACATGTCTTCGTGTGGACGCTCATCAAGGTGGGCTGCCTCGTTGGGCTAGACGTTCGTCTGGACTGAGGGATGAGTGGGCCGGTCCTTGTCTTGGGCCATTAACCCAACACAAGTCCCCCACTTCTGATGTTCTGAGAATGCGAGGGACATAAAGAAGTATATTGCTCCTTAAGGGTGGGACGCTCATATCACAGAGCTTATGTTTGCCGCATTCCCGGAGGTGGACGTTCCTCTCCATGGTGTCTCTTCATTGGTGGCGGTTCAGGAATCAAGGTGACGGCTGCCGCAGAAACGGTGCACTTCTCGAGGCAAGGCCATCATTACACTCCTCATTCCACGCGCGGCGCGTGCTTCTGGGATACGCTCCTTACCACGTGTCACTTAGCTACTGGTTTCATGAAGCGGTGCTTCCCTTATAAATACCAGAATTCCCCATATGTTTAGGGTTTCCGATTCTCGCTTTCTCGCTCTAGACTCTCCGCCGTTCTGCAATCCGCTCATCTACAAGCTTCCCGGCTCACGTCCG